GGCGGTGCGGCGATGTTAAATAATAAAGAGAAGAGAATGGGAAAAAGGAAAGAACCGAAAAAAGTGAAGGATTTATCTCAGTCAACGCAGTTTAACTACTGAAGAGAGAGAAGAAGAAAAAGAAGAAGGAGTTGGACTTCCATACGCAAAGTGCGCACAACGCACCCTCATGCGTGAAGAGGTGGGAAAGCGAAATGGAACAGCGAGGTGCGCACTGCGCATATCAAGCGCATTTTAGTGGTATTATAAAAATAGAAAGGCACTTGACTTGTTTGTACTTTGTACTATTTTGGTTGGGGTGATTTGAATTCCGTGTGATGGATTCACCAATTCTGTGTGTTTCCTATTCCTGCACCGTTCGTTGTCTGACACGTGTAACTCTCATGTGTCTTTCATTTCATGTTCAATCAAAACAATAATGTCATGAATAAGAGCAGTTGATGCATGCAGTAGTTGTTAAATCAAACTCAATTTAGTTGAATTTACTGAATTTTTGTTTAATTTTGTTATACACTAATTTGTGACGGCTTTTTTTATCTTTTTTATTATAATGTAATTTTCTTTAACAAAATTATAATAAAATTATGTTGTTTTGATTTGATTTTAGTTTAAAATATATTGAATTAAAATTGTTATTTTTTATTTCAACTTTTAAAAGTTAAAAAACAATACAATAATATAGTAAAGAAAAACAATTTCTGACATCCCAATATACTAAAAGAATTATTTTTTTATTAAACAACACTATTAAGCTGGAATTTATTAGAAATTAAAATTTTCCTCTCTTAATTGTTAGAATTAAAGATTATTTTATATTGGAAATTGATGTGCAAAAGGTGTGTTTGCAATTGTGGCTTTTGGGGTAAAAAGTTGGTGAAAGTTGGAAATATAAATATTTTTGACCATAATTGTGTTTGAAAAGCTAAGAAGTTGGTGTTTGATAACTTTTCATTTATTAATGGAGTCAAACATAGAAACTAGTTAGGTAGCTAGTAATGAACCTTTGGTTCAACACACCTCAACCATTTAAAACTCACCACAATTTATAATTATTATATTTTATAAACAAATTATAATTATTATATTTTATAAAGATACTTTTATTACTGTTTATATACAGTGAATTCTGGATGAATAAGGAAATTTTAATGACTGTTTTCTGTTCTTTGGAAAGGGTTTTTTTTTTTTATCATGATATATGTGGAATTAAGTGTTATAAAATGAGTATTTTTGAATAATATTAATTGTATTTAAAAAATTAATATGTTTGGTGAATTTATGTTTTTATTAAAATAATAATTATTAAAAAGTTTAATAAAAATATAATAAATAATAACTAATATATTAAATTATCAAGATTTAATCATATCATATAAATATAATTTAAATGGAAGTGAATTAAACTCCTTCATAATACAGAAAAACATGAATTTTTTTTATTAAACTGCAATTTTTAATATGCTTTTTTAACATGAAAACAATTACATACTAATCTAATCATACTAATATTTTGAAAATACATTTCAAAGCCAAAAACAGTTAAAAATTAACTTCTTAAAAGTGGAATTGAGGATGAAAATATTAAAAATTCAAATAGTTATTATTGATAAACATATAAATATATATTTTTTATATGATTTAGCATATTAAATTCATTTTAAGTCTAGTAGTTTTTTGTAATTTTATTATTACAATGATGGTTTTAATTGCATTTCACTTTTTTTATAATGTTGTTTTAGTTTCACCTTTTTCTAAAAATAGGTTAATGTAGTTTTATTTCATCCATCTAATATTATAATATAATAATACGTAATATAAATAATAAATTACATATTGACTTGTTAGATGAAATTAAAACGAAATGTAAGAAAAAATGTTACTTATTACTATACATTATTGTAAATTTAGCACAATGTATTATATTGAATATTTTTTAAATAAACTAAATTAAGTGTATTTATTTATAAGATAAAACTGAAAAAAAATCAAACACAGAAAAAACTATTAAACTTTAATTTTATAACTATAGCATTTATACACGAGATTTAAATTATTTAAATTCCTTTGTATATTTTAATTATTTATCTACCAATTCATCATCATTGTTTGATAAAAAGCCTTTTTGTGTAAAAGTATTTAAAAAAAAAAACACCAATTATACAAGTACCAAGCATTTCCAAAGTTCTAAATGGACATTTGTCCCAACAATTTAAATGCAGACTAAGATATATAAAGTTAGATCAACTTTACTAAATATTATAATTTAGGTTTTACAATTTTTAATGATAACGAAAAGTATACTTTTATTTTCATTTTTAGGGTCACTTGAGTTATTTGTTAAAAGATTTTTAAACATGTTTATATATTTATGCTATTATATATAAAAAAACTTATACATACATACATACATATATATATATAAATTTTAAAATTTTAAGTAAAATTAAAATAATTATTTTATGAATGTTATTTTTAAGTGATTACTTGTATAAATTTAATTATTTTTTTATTTTACCATTTTTAATAACCATTCTTTAATCTTAAATAATTATTTATAATAAAAAAACCTATAAAATACATAAAAATATTTACACTAAAACTATATAAATTGATTATTTTTTCTTGAATGGATAATATATGTGTTTTTAATAATATTTTCACACACATGAAAAAAAAAAAAATATAAATAATATATATATATATATATATATATATATATATATATAAATGATAACATTAATGTAATTGTGTAATAGCTAAAGAAAATAAGAATCAGATTGTATCAAACAATATTTATTGTATTAATATTAGGAAAAATCTAGACTTTCAAGTTTAGATTACAAAATATTAAAGAAATAATTACAAGTTATGTTTTCCAAAATAGATTAAATAAGTTTAGTTAAGTCTAATTGTGTATTAGATAACAAAGGTTAAGCTAGTATATATTTTCTATTTTAATTCTTAATAGATGACGTGGACAATTTTTTTTATATCATAATGATTAGTTCTCCTAATGAATAATGTGTTTTTTATTTATTAATTTTTTAAATTGTTTTTAGCCAGCATGTTTTTTATTAATTGATTAAAGTGTTGGAGTAAGTAAAAGAAAAGTAAAATTAAAAAAGATAATAAAGAGAAAATGGGTCGGAGAATTACTTTAATAGGAATGATAGCGTGAACGTGATAAAAGCTGCCATCATTTGACTCTTGTACATGCTATTGACGTCACATGTTGACACTTATTTATTTGACCATTTTTATTCTCTGTGCCCGGTTTCACTTTATCTTTCTTATACTTGCACTCATACCCACCGTTCCTTCTTACTCAGAGATAAGCAATTACATACAAAGTTTATAAAGATTAATTTGATTTACTATATTAGTCATATTCTTTTTTTTTACGTAATTAAGTATTAATATATTTTAAAATCAAGTCAATTTAATTCATTTCATTAAATTGTTATTTTATATTTGAAATATGTGAAGATATTTTTGTTAGAAATTTAATTATGAGTCAAAGTTTCATATGGGATAAAAATAAAAAAATAAAACATTATATAAAAATGAAAGACTCACTAAGTTATTATTTAAATTAATAAAAAATAATATCAATCTCTTATGTGATTAGACTGAGATTTTATCGTTACCTTACTTTTCCATTGAACTTTGAGATTCTATGATTATTGTATCTTTTTATTGAACTTTTTTATTTCTCAACTATTCTTGCTTGAGAACTTTTTTTTATTTATCACATAGCTCAAATCTTCTAAATGATTTATCATATGACATATATGTAACCTTAAATCTATAATTAAGACAATTAATTTTTAGACAGGAAATAACAATGTGTTACTGAACAAAAGTTAAGGTTGTTATGTCGTTAGTTGATAGCATAAACCAATATTAACACTGAATCAAGAATCATAAGGAAAGAAGAATGAAATTTTGCAATGAAAACTGCGAAGCTATAAAAAAAAGGGTATTTTTTTTTCTCTGATTCTTGTTCTACACCATAGAATTCGTGGTTGTACGAAAAACAGTGCTCCTTATCCATTTGGGTATTTGAGTATTTGAAGAAGAAAATATCTAAGTCTAATATTGTGCGACAAAATTCTTCTTCTTTAGCGTGAAGAAAGAGACCACCTATTACCAAGTGACAGGTTTATCTTTTCTGCCTGTTAGCTTCAAATTGCATCCATCATATCTGATATTTATGTTCAACACAGTTGTGTATCAGTAAGCACAATCTGATCCTTCTTCTTCCATGCATGGCATGGCAGCTCTCACTGTAGGCAACTCTTGCTGCAGCAAAAGGGTACCTTCTCATGATGAATTCACAAGCAGAAACAGACCCAGGATTTTGATTCAACTATCCTGCCAGGGTAGAACACCAGATCCGGAGGAAAAGAAAGATCAGAAGGGAGAAACGAAGGTGAACTTGTTCAAATGGAAAATGTTAAGTGATATTGAGAAGACAGGGAAGAGATTGAAGCAGAATTTGAGTCCACAGCAAAAGGGTGATTGGAAAGACTTGTTGCTGATGAGTATATCGTTTGCAGTTTATGTGTACATATCCCAGATGCTTGTTTGTGCCTATTTTGCTTGGACCACTGTGCCCAAACCCATGTGGTAGCAAGCACTGGTGATCTTTTATTTGCATCAGAGAAATCTGATGTAGTTTATGTTGGAAAAATATAGTGTAGGTAACAGATTATGGCTGCGGAATACCATTTTAAATCAATGTTTTTACTTTGCTGTGTGAATATTATCTTCGTGATTAGTGACACTTGGTGATTCTATGTATATTGATTAATTGGGAAAGAATGTGATGATCATAAGAGGATGCTTGAGATTTTCTCCGTTCAAGAAGGAAGGAGCTGCATAGTAATCCTATTTTTTCTTTACGTTTTTTCACAACGATTTTCACACTAAATGAGATAAGATTAAGATAAGTGATGTAACGAAAATATCAGTGAACTAGAGCTACCCCAATAAATGAATTAATTCAAAGGCATACTACAAATCTTTATAAAATGATTATCTGATTTAAGCGACACTTATAATTTCAATTTCAATTCTGGTAACAAGGAGGTTCTGAACAAACCACCAAACTATGAAAAGTAACATAAGAGCAGATTGATAGCATTGTCAAAGATAACTCCTAGGAGTGAAATACCAGTGCTTTTTCAACATCTGATTGTTCCACAAGCAAAAGGAAAATAGTAAAAGTATGATTAATTCATGAGTCGTACAAGAGGTGGTCTTTCAATGGTCTTTTTGATTAGTCAGATTTAAACCTTTCACGCTTGAAGAGGCTGACAAGGCCATTGAATACTGAAAGCAACCACTGCCAAATAAATATGAGCCAGTTTCTTGGCTTAGGAACTGGTTCAGGCCTTGGTCCAAATATTCCTTTATATATCTCTTTCTGCTTTTGGTAAACGGCCTTGTCATGTTCAGCAAGCAATTTCAGTTCTCTTGCAATTGCTTTGTCTTGAGGAGCATGTTTACGTGCCTTTAGAAAATCTTCCCTGGCAGCATCTGTTTGCCCAAGTGCTGCTCTAGCCTTACCTCGCCTAAATAATGCCTTCACATTGTTCTCATCCTCACCCAGTGCCTGCAAGTTCCATCATAAAGTTACACACAAGTGGGTGACCAAAATGACTTCTCTTTTGGGTAAACAACTTAATAAAGCACTTACTCAATAACTACTCATCGGGTAAACATGTGTTTCTATGATAGAAGAAATAAGGGTGAGTTGTTGTTATGCAAGTTTTAAGTTGTTTTCAAAAAATTGCCCAAATAAGTTTACTGAAATAGGCTGAAAGTAATCCATGGTTCTCCCAAATACTCATGCTGTAAACTCAAAAAGACTGTAAATAAAATCTTCCGGAGTGAAAAAGATTATCTCAGTTCCTGTCAGAAAATCACGGTTTAACATTGCATCATAATTCACAATCTTGGATAGCTAAAATTCTAAGATATTAGACTTAATTGGTATTTTAGATGAGATGACACAACACCCTATCCTATTGCATAGCAAAATAAACTTAATGCGATGCCCATATTTACTTGCTAAACTGGTAACAAAAACAACTATAATGTGGATAGCAGCTACATAATTTCTTAGACATAATATTAGAGGACATGCTTAGTATTGAATGGTGACAAAGTCAGCATTTTCTATTTTGGCATGATCTGACAGGGTAATCAATAATGCAAAAGAACAAAAAGCAAAAAAGAGTATGAAGTTTCCCTTCAATAAGTTTAAAAAGAACACCCTTGAGACAAAACACATTCGCTGTCTTCAACGTCTCAAAGAGAGATTAAGATCTCACTAATGTCCAATAAAGCAGCATATTATTAGACTATAATTTTACTTTCATAATATTGTATTCCATTCACAATCCAAATCTGGCCAAAAGTAGCTAGCAGAAGAGATAGTTATAATGCAATTCTGTATCTAGAAAAGGAATTATTGAAACACCGATGAATGGTGTGGCTTACAAATTAAAACACACACACAAAGCATTTTATGCTGATTGATTGGTTAAAGTCTTGTCTTATACTCACAATGCTGCATTGTCCCTATAGCTTCTTCATAACGGTTCAGCTTAATCAAACAAGCTGCCATGTTAAGATGGCACGGATTCTTTACAGCCAGAGCCATATCTCTATATTTCCCAAACAACTGGAACATGAAGTCATCTCCCATATACGCTATGGCCTAAAAAGAAACAAAGACGGTAACAAATTTGTCAAACAACCTCAAATAAAAAGTGAAGAAAGAAATTTCATGGACTAAGAGCAGTAAGGAACTATGTAGAAGAGTGCAAGAAACATAAGTGTGTAACCATTTCATACTGTTGCATAGCCTCCTCTAGTTTTTCTTCCTGATACAAAGCATTTCCATCCATCTTTCTCCGGTCTGCTGCACCAATCCTTTCTTCCACGGTCATATCACTGCGAGCTTTCCCCTGCAAAAAATCA